AAGAGGAGCATTAGAGCCGACAAGAAGAAATACGTGGAAGAACTAGCAACGACGGCAGAAAAAGCTGCAAGGGAAGGAAATATGAAACAGCTTTACGATACAACGAAGAAACTATCAGGGAAATACAGTAAACCAGAGAGGCCGGTCAAAGACAAAGAAGGCAAGCCAATCACCGAAATTCAACAACAGCGTAACAGATGGGTAGAATACTTCGAGGAACTCCTGAATAGGCCGGCTCCAATGAATCCACCGGACATCGAAGCAACACACATAGATCTTCCTATAGATGTCAATCCACCAACTACGGGAGAAATTAGAATGGCCGTCAGACAAATCAAGAACGGGAAAGCAGCAGGACCCGACAACATACCAGCTGAAGCACTGAAATCAGACATCGAAACAACCACAAGCATGCGTTATCTTCTATTCAAAAAGATTTGGGAGGAGGAACAAGAGCCGATGGACTGGAAAGAAGGACACCTCGTCAAGATTCCAAAGAAAGGAGATCTGAGCAAATGTGAAAACTACAGAGGCATAACACTACTGTCAATACCAGGGAAAGTCTTCAACAGATTGTTGCTGAACCGGATGGAGGATGCAGTAGATGCCCAACTTCGAGATCAACAAGCTGGATTCCGTAAGGATCGGTCGTGCACAGACCAAATTGCAACACTACGGATCATCGTCGAACAATCAGTTGAGTGGAACTCGTCACTATACATCAACTTCATTGATTATGAAAGGGCATTCGACAGTGTAGACAGGAGGACATTATGGAAACTTCTTCGACACTACAGAGTTCCTGAGAAGATTGTCAATATTATCCGGAACTCATATGACGGACTGCAATGCAAGGTCGTGCATGGAGGACAGCTGACAGATGCATTCCAAGTAAGGACCGGAGTCAGACAAGGCTGTTTACTCTCTCCCTTCCTCTTTCTTCTGGTGGTCGACTGGATTATGAAGACCTCAACATCTGAAGGAAAACACGGAATACAATGGACAGTTCAGAACCAATTAGACGATTTGGACTTCGCAGATGACCTAGCCATCCTATCACGTACACACGAACAGATGCAGATGAAGACAGCCAGTGTAGCAGCAGTCTCTGCATCAGTAGGCCTCAGCATACACAAAGGGAAAACTAAGGTCCTCAAATTCAAAGCGGAGAACAGCAATTCAATCACTCTTGATGGCGAAACTCTGGAAGATGTAGAATCCTTCACATATCTGGGAAGCATCATCGATGAACAAGGAGGATCCGATGCAGACGTGAAGGCGAGGATCGGCAAAGCAAGGGCCGCTTTCCTACAATTGAAGAACATATGGAACTCAAAACAACTTTCAACCAATATCAAAGTGAGAATCTTCAATACGAACGTCAAGGCAGTTCTACTGTATGGAGCTGAAACTTGGAGAACTACAACAACCACAATCAAGAAAGTACAAGTATTTATAAATAACTGTCTACGCAAGATACTCAACATCCATTGGCCGGATACCATCAGCAATAGCCTTCTGTGGGAGAGAACAAACCAACTTCCAGCTGAAGAAGAAATTAGGAAAATACGATGGAAATGCATAGGACATACATTACGCAAATCGTCAGTCTGCATCACGAGACAAGCCCTAACTTGGAATCCTGAAGAGAAGCGAAAAAGAGGAAGGCCAAAGAACACATTACATCGGATAATAGAAGCAGATATGAAAACGATGAATTACAACTGGACGGAGCTAGAAAGGATTGCCCAGGACAGGGTTGGATGGAGAATGCTGGTGAGCGGCCTATGCTCCTTCACGAGGAGTAACAGGCGTAAGTAAGTAAGTAAGTAAGTAACCTGCTGACTGCGGTGGACAGATGGACAAGCATGCTTGATCACAAGGGGAAGGTTGATGTCGTTTACCCTGATTTCTCAAAAGCTTTTGATAGGGTCAACCATATATGTCTTATCAATAAGCTCAAGCGATTAGGTATCAGACCACCTCTAACCTACACTAAGGTCAGGGTTAACTTCACTTTCTCTCAGGCTATGGATTTTCCTAGTGGGATTCCCCAGGGCTCAGTACTAGCATTTCTTCTCTTCTTGATTTAAATAAACGAACTTCCACAACAGGTATCGTCAGACTTATTAATGTTTGTTGATGATGTGAAACTTTGGAGCGAGGTATGCAATCAAGAGGAAATACTAGCACTTCAGGGGGGGGTCTGATTCGACTTCAAAGTTAGACAGGCGAAAAAGAACTTACCTTTAGTACTTCAGAGTGTAAACTAGTCTGTATGAGATATGTTGCAGACTACAATTAGAACTTAATAAGCTCCTCTCTAGAAGTGTCCCGAATTGAAAAAGATTTGGGAGTTCTGGTACCTACGATTCGAAGTTTCACGTTAACTGTGACAAAAATGCCTTTTGAGCGAACTTCGCACTAGTAGCATTGAAGCTCATTTCTGGCCAGTTTGACTGAAGAACTTTCCACATAATCTTCAACGGTTTTGATCGTCTACATTTAGCGTACGGAAACATAGTATTTCCTCCCTCACTCCAAAACTATAAGGACACTCTGGAGCGTATCCAAAGGCGAGCCACAAAATTAGTTTGAGGACTCAAACCGTACGAAGAGTGCCTCCAATCACTTATAGGTGATGATTTAATGGCATACAAAATCCTTACCACTTCTGGACATTCCCTTACACCTAGTCCTAATACAAACCAAAGATTTAACACCCAGAAACTGGAGATACAACATAGCAGAACGGGATGTAGACACAACTTCTACTCCTTAAGAGTTGTGAAATGCTGGAATCCGCTGCCAACTGAACTAGTCCAAGCGACTTCCCAGGAGTCCTTCAAGAGGAAACTTGACCTATTCTTAAGGACTAAGGATAAAATTTTATTATGATTTACCAATTTCTTTTTTCTTCTATTATCGTTATTATACCTAGGTTCCTGTCTGGAGTTATTGGTGATCCACTGCTACCAGACACGGAAGCCCGTTATGCGAAAGCTTCCTCTATTCTGTCCACAAGCATTTGAACCATTTGAACTTTGTTCCTATGACGTAATATTTTGCTAGGAAAATTAAATGAATTGTTACCAAGATGGTTATAAAGTCTTCAAATTATAGCATTTCAACAATTTACTATCTATGATTTAATCTCTTTTAAACAAGAAAGAAATCAGAGTTTCTATGGTGATGAAAGTATATATTTGCTTATGATGATGATTCAATTATAACAGAATGGTTAATGTGACATAGATGTGGTGTTTGAACGTTAAAACATCGCACTCACCATTTACTGCCCGGAACCAAAATCCTGATTGACAATGGCAATATTTCGACCTGAAGGATAAATTCATTTGAAGTAAGGCATACGTAGATGGCCGACGTCGTCTCCTTTGCCTAGGTTGTGTTGGCGAGTTAGAAGTTGTATGCTCTTCAGAAGAATGATTATTACTATCATCATCTACATCCTGAACGCAAGCATCTGACTCTGACGAACAGCGTTTACGTCCATATGTACAGATATATCTCACGAAAAAGTACTTTAGAGTTGGATCATCACTGTTCGTTTTGCATACTGACATAAAGTACTTAGTATGCGTATACTAAGAAAACAATTATTAACCACAGAAGTCATATTACCTTATGTACTTCTTTCAAACAGGTCTCAAAATTGTCCCAACTTGTAAATCTTCGAGATAACATATCATTGAAGATTCGTCCTATATCATGCATCATCACGATGGCATCGTCTTCGTTCCTTGAAGAATGAACGTTACCAGCCATGGTGTGGCTGAACTCAATTCAAATCTAAACATGTCTTGATTTGACCACTTCTGAAAATTTTCACGAATTGTCGATGTGACGTACCAATCATTTTGCGACAGTTTGACCTTCAAGTGCTCGTAACCCCCATTAGTGGACGATACCCCAGGAGCGTTGCCGCACAACAAAGTCATATTACGCACAAACTGAAACTCATAGTATAGGATAGACTGTTAGTTTCAAATTAAGGAGGTCGATACCTAGTGTTGGTCATCGATCAAGCTAGTGTTGACTATATAATTAATGCTAATGTTAGAGTGAAAAGACATAATTATCTAACCAGCGGATCGCAATCATAACTGTTTCTTTCGAGAATATTCTATTCGATTTCCGAGCATATGACCAATGAGATTTGCTATAAGTTTTTACCATTACAAAATCATTTGAATGATCATAAAAGATGATTTCGCGAGACTAATTTATGGACGACCTTTGAACGAATCCTGAGTGACCTTGAGAAATATCAGCCAATCAACAAACTGTCAGCATAGAGTAAAAATATATTATACAAAATCAAGGAAATAAAGTGGACACACTTCTAATATGTGCTTCAAAAACTTGTCAAGGTTAGAAAGCGGTCCAGATGTTCTAAAATCGTAATGCATGCAGTAGGGGAAATCATCCATACGGCTGCAGAATAGTCGGCATCTGGGGCCATGATAAAGTCTCAAAAACTTTCAGCCCTGACCACATAATTTCAATATTGTTTATGTGTACTCCGGTTGTTGAGTACACAAAATGCTATTTGTGGATAACGACACAATGCATATAAGCAAGCCTATGTAGGAGTCTGTACGCTCTCTAAACATCCGTATATATTGTAGTATCTGGTTGCACCCAGTTTTAATGCTGCTTTTATTATCCAGTTCGCGATGATTGTCATAATTTGCTTTAGTTAGCAATTATATATGGGGTTTTCATCATGAACTGACATCAACTATAATGCCAGAAGTCTATTTAGCCAAATAGATGAAAGGCTTTCGCGTTAAAACCCAAGATCTGTTATCTTATACCTCATTCATTCGCCCACAAATTATAGTCTCGAAGTTTTATTTGTTATGGCCGCTCAATTATCACGTTTTGTACAAAATTCCTTGTGAGCCGATCGCACGTTAGCATTGAGCACTGAAGTTGGTGCCGTAACCTTGAATTCTCTAAAACGTTTCTGATTGGCTCGTCCATAAATTAGAGTCTCGCCGATGATTCTTATTCAACTAAACACTTACTGCGTAGACTGTAATATGAACTTGAACAGACCCTATACGTTTAAAATCACCGATCGTTTGATTTGTAATCGTCCAAAATGTTGGGAATGCAATAATTAGCCAAGAAAGTTTGAATTTATCTTTAACATTATCACTGAAGTAATATCAGTCGCTTATCATCAGGGTTCCACTGTGGGGGAAATTTTAAAAATAATTGGCGTTTACGCGTAGTTTATACTTTTTCTTTCGGTGGTTTATGTTTATCGCAGGAAACACATACTGTTGCCAAACAGGAAATTCTACATTTCTTGTATTTTTGATATGGTATTAAAATGAAAGCTAGTTTTTTTTAAAGCTCTGATTTGAACTATTAATATTTTCGATGCTTATTCCTTGTTCTGAGCATTGGTGCACAATAACTCGGTAATTTTCAATCAAGTTGAGTAGTTATTTACTGATTCCTTTCCTAGACTGTTTATACCTGTTACCAGAGATTCGATGAAATCAATGTAAATGATTTTATATTATTCACTCTTACTGGCCAAAGCAAAAATACTTATTCCTTTTCAATAAGCAAAGTAAAAAAATACATCAAATATTTCACTTATTCTTCGACTTTATTTGATAAGGTAAAATATTTAGCTGTATATAGTGAAGCGGATCTTTTTACCACTGAGTTAGCGTAAATATACAAAAGTGAACGAATCTATATTTTTTCTAGAAGAAATAATGACAGCTAATTAACTGTATCTTTCATAATAGTCCTCAGCAAATTTCGCACATGGTTTATCCAGACATTCTGATAATGTGTTCTTGCATTCTAAGTAGCATGTCTCTTCACGGAAAGGCATTCGTTTGCATCGATCATCACACATAAGATAACGTTTTAAACAGTCGAGCTTACAGTCGCCTCCAACCAAAATCACTTTATTCACCACCATATTGAGAGATAAGGCTAAAATAAAAATCACCTGAACCTGTAAATGGATGAATCTTATTAATATTTTGTTTAATATATGATTAATGAACTGAATGCAAATGGATTATCTGAAAATATTTACATTATGATTGGAATTATAACAGAAATAGCTAACAAAGTTTGTTCATGTAGGAGTACTCAAGCTGCTTATGCTACACGCCTGCAGCCATTGTACTGCAACCTTTGTAAAATATAATTATTTTTTCTATTGACTAATGAGAAAACTTTCGTATAAAAATCTAACTTAAAGTTATCATATACAAAAGTATTTACCGTCAATTTTTATTCAACTTAAGTTCTATACATGTTTAATATCATTCCGAAGTTATCATCTTAAGGATTTAAAGAATAGTTGTTAAGAACTTTCTAAGTTAACATTCCAAAGTGACTATATCCCGTTATTTCATAGAATTACTCTTCAACTGGTTCTGAGAATTGTATAGTAGATTACGTATTTTCGTTAGTAAAATGTTACCGTGCGAATTCAAGATACAGAGACTACTCGGATAAACAACGTTTCAATTAGTCATTCTGGACCAATCTTTCATTATATTTAAGATGTCTATTTGTCTTTCACGATGTGACAAAGCAATCTATGTCTCAAGCTCTAGTAGATATAAAGTGATAATGAACCGAAACTTCGAGTTTACAGACCAAAATGCAATTGTATTAAGTAGAAACTATTTATCATCTTTCATTAAATAAATGTATCTTAGTGACCCTGTTCTGGTTCATGCAATATAATGTAATTTATGGTAGCTGAGTAACATTCAATAAACAGATTACATTTCTTAGAACAAGTTAAATGAAGTGTGATGTCAGTCTACCACTAACCAAAGTAAAAAAAACCCCACCATAAATGGGTTACAGATATAATTTCGGGACTGAAGTGTAACTCATATAGCAACCAGATTTCGCCATCTGATTGGTATAAGATCAAATCTACAACTTCTGGTTTTCATCAACTCATAAGTGCATTTTTCCAATTTCAGTCATCATTCCCATTTACATAGGTGAAGGTTGCGTTGGCTTGATCAGTAATTATGATATTATCTAATAAAAGCTATTCAGAAATAAATTACTCTTTTACATAAAAGACCTTATTTCATGGAGCCAAACAAACTGATGATAAGTTGTTTTTTGTATTTGAATATCGAGGTATGAAGTTGAAAGAGCATTTATTAGTTTGAATTGCCAATCTATGTATATTTTAATAAATTTTTTCGGATTGTAACTTTGATAAACACGAGGAAGCATTTAAATAGATTGGTGAATGTGAACAGATTCCTGACTTTATGGATGTCAAATGTTGTTATAGTATCGTGGTTTAGAATAGATGAAAAGCATCCATGATATCAAGGCCACTATGGTTCACTAACTCCTCCTGTAGCTCTTCTAAAGTTACTGCCTGTCCCAAGCCCGGGTAAAGGAGGAGGGTTGGGCATGGGGTTAGCGACCCGATCCCGTAGAAATCTAACTCGCTAAAAAAATCGCTAACCAGAAATAGTTCACTAGTTATAAATCAATACAGTTTGTTACTATTGCTCCTAAGGACCACAAATTTTAAAATTCTGTGAATAAATAGTTAATCGCTAGATGTCAGTCGGATTTATTTTATGATAATTTGGTTATTCTGTAAATATACTTTTCCGATTCATACTAAACTGTATACTAATACCCAAACAGTTGTTTTAGTTATTAATATTTTTTATGAACCGATTGTGCTGATTTTTTTTACTCAAAATAGGTTTCTATAGCTAGAGTATACCGGTTTACACAACCATTGTTAGTGGCTATAATTGATGGTTATTTTAAGGACGTAAACCATTGGACAATAAAGAATACTGAATTTCAAATCGCGAGAATAATTTATACTTTCTTCTGAATCTTCAAACTAAAAACCGTTAAATAATAACAGGTTTTCTGTAAATACACAAAAAATATATGGTAGATCACAAAGAAAAAAAAATTAAAATTACCTTCATTTCTACAGTACCACAAACCGTTAAATAAATAGGGTAGAATTTTCAGAGTTAAATTTATATGATAAATTAGACGTAGTGGAAATGAGAAAAAAATTTCATGGTAATTACTGGTAATTTTTGTGTTTGTCTGTAAGTTTAGATTAGAGCTAATTTCTATAAACATGTAATTCAGTCAAATTTAAAGGAAGTAGTTGATAAGTAATTTCCTTTATTACAAAGTAATTAAAGCAATTATTGTATGTGTTGAAAGAGATTATGAATTATTCCATTATCTTTTTTGAAAACAAATAACAAGAATTTTAAAATTGTTGGGATAATTATTGTAAATCTAACTCATTTTAATCTATAATATAATCAAGTACAATATTATCATTGCTAAAATCGCCTTCGTCACAACTTTAACGACTATGCTTTTTAAGTAGTGATGACTTTTGCTATCAGTTACTCATCTTTATTCATTCTACTCTTGAGCATACTATCATATAAAGTACAGTTCTACTTAATATGAGATAGTAATTACTCTAATGACAGATGCCTCCAAATACCCTGGTACGGTTGAGGTTGGGAAGAGTCAGCACTCCCTATCGAAATACTCTCACATGGTCACGCGTATACACCCACTGTCAGCGAAGCCCTACTCACTGCCCTCTCGAGGCATTATTATTGTTTACGAAATTGAGAGGACGAAAAGTCAATGTCCGGTGCTTCAACTGGGTTGATGGACATGGAGAGTCCATCTAGGTGAGTTGGAAAACCTTGATTCCAAACCAATGGTGCACATGGGCTCCGGTATCCTGTGGGAACAAATGGCGTGTGAACCAATCGTTGATCACTGGCTACCATGGGACTGCATCTCTTTACTATGCTCCACTACTTTTGTGGATCAGACCTTTAGGTCAAAGGCTCAGGGTGTGGCTCCCTATGAAAACCACCTGCTTCTGTTTGGGCACCCGAGTAGTATCACACCCCACACACAAATCAAGTGACTTGTGTGCTGCATATGTATTTGGTGCCTCCTTGTACCGATATTTATGTGTTCAAATGAATAATAATAATTTCACACACATAGTTCCCTTTATTATCTTAAAGAGAGCAAGAACAATGATTGGTGCAGAACAATATAAATTCATTTTATTTCGTTAGGTTCTCATCAGCTGCTCACAACCTAAAATATTTAAAATTCAACATTATTACAGATATTGACATACTTATACATAAGAGGGTGATTAAGGATGAATAAATGTATCATGGTGTAGCGAAGATTCCGCTAGAGTTAATGAGGTCATAAAATCTTGTCTCGAATAAATAAAGTTTGAGAGGGAAAGTTCCGGAACATTGAAATAGTGACTAGAACTCATGAAAATAGATTAATGGTAATAAAGAAAATATGAATTGAAATCAGTCAGTTATGTATGATGTAATTTAAACTTCAGAAAGAGTTGGAATAATGACGCAATAAATAAAGAAATAAAGAAACAAATAAGTAGAAATAAGTGAGTAAAAAAGGGGGTATTGTTACCAGAGTAAAGAAAGATTTATTACTGTCTCTTTTTGTATACATAGGTCTGGTTTTAGACGTTTGATTGCTAATCCTTCACGTTCAGTTTATAAAAAGGACACATGGGATGGAAGTTATCTCACTTTCAATAGCTTTTGTCAAATCAGTTACAAAAGGGCACTGGTCAAAACACTGTTTCACAGAACAGAAAGAATATGTACTATACTGAATGTACTTAAGAAACAATGAGATAAGTAATCGGATCATCATCAGATTCTCTTTAGGTACGTGCTTTTTGGATGTCAGAATACGGAACATATTAATGCAGCAAAAGAAAGTGTCAGCTTTTATGTCCAGTAATACGTGACTAAAATAAAGCTGAAACTTGTTCGACAGTTGGTACTTTTGATTAAGCTGATGAGACACTAAAACGATGTTCCCAGTGGTTATATTTTGAATTCATATATATAACAGCCTTTAAGAAGCTTAACATGCGGTTATAGTCCAGTGTTATATATAATATTATTCATAGGAACTTAGTATGTCAATGTAATATATTAGATGATGAATTATTTATAACTTCAAATAATTCCTTTTAAAAAACCTATCAATAAAAACGTTAGAAATCAATAAATACGTATCTAATACTCAAATATCTCGAGTTTAGATGTTATAAAGCCTGAGAGATAATGACGAAAAGAGTATTCACCACATAAGTCATGATATATCCTACAGTCAAGTTATTGCGACTATCTCGAATGGCTTACTGACCTGTGTTATTAAATACCAGTAAGCACCATGTTACCATTTGCAGTGTAGTTTGAATAATCCATCTCTTTCCAAACAGTTATTTCACACAAGAATAAAGAATGGTCTGTCTGTGAGAATGCGACTAATGAAATGGAATTGTCTCATTCGTGTAGTTGCTTGATATTTAATTGACACTGGACTACAGATAGATATTTTTCGAACTTTGGAAGTTGAATTATTAAAAAATTTCCCATGGTTTATTAAGAGTTGAATTACGTTTCTTTTTTAAAAATAAACAACTCGAAATCGGGCTTTCCATGTTCTTTTAGTTACATAATCCTCAATCATCATTATTCATTCATTCATTCATCAGATTTTAGACTTGTGCTACTGTTAGTAATCGTGAATTCTCATTCATTTCTTCTTTTTAACAACATGCAAAATCTCTTTTCAGTGGTACAAAAACTATCAAAAAATTTGAACTAAAATTTGTCATATGACTTCATGGATTTACAAATTTCTTATAATTTCTAAATCACTTTCCATTAAAAGTTGAAGTAGTAGTATGATTTATGGTATTTAAAGTCCTCTGGAAAAGATGAATTTCTATACGATAATATCTACATTAGTTAATTTTTATTTCAGTTCTTATTGCCTTATCCCATAGATTAATACTTCACTAACATCATGAAGACGAGATGATGATCACTTAGTAATCACAACTGGCCAAGCCTATATTGTAACCTTTTGCAGTAGTATCCTATGAGGATTTGTTTGTAGTCTGAATTGTTTTATTTAACTATACCTACTTACTCTAGTTCACATTACTTATAGGAAATAATTAGTAATAATCAGTAGGCACCCATTGTAAATTAATATTCTGTTTCAGGATTCTAGCAAACAATTATACAATATTTCAGGAGACGAGTGTCTACTTCTAGTACTTGTAAGACGATCAAACAAATATTAATTTATTAAAGTGCGACTGATCTACAAAATCGATTCCCTCTATTTATCTATGGTACTTAATCAGATAATTTACTAAATTAGCTATATGTGCTGGTGACAGATGTTTAGTCTTATATGATACATTTTTGTTCATGTAGTTATTAATTTGTTAGTGACAAGTGCTATACGATTTAATTTATTCCAACCTGAATACTGATCAGTGTAAAGAAAATACATAAAAGTTCATATATTCGGATATAGTTTTGATTTATTTTTCATGCATAACAAATCCTCATCTATTGTCTTCGTCTTCTTTCTTGAACCGTGAGAATCACGGTTTTCTGTGGTAAGTATCAGTTTTCTCCAAGTTACATCAAGATCACTAATGTCAACAGGTATGACATTTCCTATACTTTAGAGAAAGCATTTCTTAAAATTCATTGAAAGTGATGGATAAATACTAACTTGAAGTTGATGACTTGATCATTGAAATCCTTACATTCTTAATCACTGACATCGATAGATTATGGAACTTCTGTATCCAACCTGATAGCCAAAAGTGATATCACCTGACAGATATATGGAAAACAAGGTATTGATTAGAAACTTTATGAAATGCAATATTCAGTAAAAAATTACCAAGTTATTTTTAAGAATTTATACATCATTCTTGTGAATCTAAATAAAGCTATTATGGTTAGTTTTTACAATATAGACGTAAGCAACAATTAGGACTTTGTGATTTTTGAAATTATTTAAGGCTATTAAAAATATTGTGTTTTAGGAATCATAGCACGTGCCATAGTTTTCCAGCGTCTTTTACGTCTATTTTCAACCGTGCTCATTTTATGGCTGTTGGTATTTTTAGGAAATATGGATAATTGGTTTGTTAACAAATGATTTTCAGTGTTATACAACTGTTCGTCAGATGATGAGATCGTTCGACAATTTCTCTCAGCTGTATTTGACGTATGATACTCACTTCTGTTAACCGCTTCACTGATAGATATTTGTTCAAACCACAAATCGGAAAAATATTTCTCAACATCTTGAAAACTCAACTCAGGGAGCTTTGGGATGGACGACTGTGACTGGTCATTAAATTCAGGTTTGTACTTCGATTTGGAATCTGGAAATGAAAAAAAAATAAAACAATATTTTAGACCGCTGTCTTTAGGAAAAATAAGATTTGAGATTTGAAAATGTCTACTAAAGCTCTATGGTCTAACAATAAGGTAAATACCTTATGTGTGTTTTTAGGGTTTATAAATTTTGTGACAAACGTTAATTAGCATAAAACCTGAGTTAAGGGTTTCCCGTCGACTATTATCAACCGCACAATATTTCGTATTGTTTTGATATTATTTAGCTGAAGCGTAAATTATCAAAGTATGATAGCACATTCTATGGAATCACTCAACTTATTATTCTGCAAAAACAAATGTGCGATTCTTACTAATGATCACTAATGTATCTACCCTGATGGAAGCAATGGGGTAATGTTGTTTGTCAAAGGTTTAATGTTGATAATTAATGATCTAATGAAAAGAAGCCTGTTATTGATATAGATTATGTCTGAACATATCAACTGCTCATGCAGCTGTTATATACTTCATAGTCTACATGTATATTTTTCTATTATCGAAAAAACTCCTAGTGATCGGACTGAAAGATCGAAACATCTTTTTAAAAATGCTGAAAGTTTTATGTTTTATGACCGACAATGAGCAAGATTTTGTCAGATTTTCTAACATATATCTCAGCAACCAAATGTCTAACTACTACATCCCAATTTATTAAAATCCTATTCATTTTTAAAATGATTATTATGATAG